CTTTTTTTTTTTTTTTTTGATTTTTCGAGACAGGGTTTCTCTGTGGTTTTGGAGCCTGCCCTGGAACTAGCTCTTGTAGACCAGGCTAGTCTCGAACTCACAGAGATCCGCCTGCCTCTGCCTCCCGAGTGCTGGGATTAAAGGCGTGCGCCACCACCGCCCGGCTCACATAACATTCTTAATTTAAAAATTTAAAGCAACATATCTACTTAAAACATTAAACAAAGCAAATTACCTAAGTTGCTTCCTGAAATAAAAGGCCTGTTGAGTCTCTTGAGTTTACTTGTAATGTAGCCATTTGGCAATCAGCTTCAGTCTACTCTGCCACATTACTCTTGTCTTTTGACTTCTACATTGGCCAACATTCAACATCCACATGTGTTTTGAGGAGCGGCGGGCCGCTTCCCATGTGATCCCACCTGGCTCTCGCACGGCTAGCTTTACACCCGAAATAACAACACACAAATTGTACTCTTTTAAACACCGTCTGGCCCATTAGCTCTATCCTCTTACTGGCTAACTCTCACATCTTGATTAACCCATTTCTATTAATATGTGTAGCACCACGAGGTGGTGGCTTACCAGGAAGATTTTAACCTGCATACATCTCGGAGAGGAGAGCTATGGTGTCTGCGTCTCTGCCCTTCTTCCCAGCATTCTGTTCTGTCTTCTCCGCCTATTTATGTTCTGACTTATCAGGCCAAGCAGTTTCTTTATTAATTAACCAATGAAAGCAACAGATAGATAGAAGACCCACCTACATCACACAAGGACAATCCACCCTACATCCAGATCTCTGGGTAGCACATGAACTCATGTACTCTCATTTTACCTGTTCCTTGCAAACCATCTGCTTCTTAAATTGGTTCTTCTACTCCTGTGAATGGCTAGTCAACACTTACAAAAGCAGGGAGGTTTTTCTTTCTTTCTTTTTTAAGATATATATTTTTTTATTACATATATAGTATTCTGTCTGCATGTGTGCTGCAGGCCAGAAGAGGGCACCAGATCTCATTAAGGATGGATGTGATTGTTGGAAATTGAACTCAGGACCTCTGGAATAGCAGTCAAGTGCTCTTAACCTCTGAGCCATCTCTCCAGCCCATCTTTCTTTTCTTTTCTTTTTTTTTTTTTTTAAGACAGGGTTTCTCTGTAGCTTTGGAGCCTGTCCTGGAACTAGCTCATATAGACCAGGCTGGCCTCAAACTCACAAAGATCCCCCTGCCTCTGCCTCCCAAAGGCTGAGATTAAAGGTGTGCACCACCACCGCCCGGCAAAAAAGCAGTTTCTTAAGGTCAGACTTAGTACATCTTCCTCTCAGCTGTACCCTGGTACTTTGTACAAGAGAACAAGTGCCACCTGGAGGCAACACCTCTACTGCTGTCTGTGTGGAGATACACCTACTGCCCCCACCAATAGTCTTTTGCGTAAAACCAATTTCTAAGAAAATAGTATAGGCTCTCCAAACTGAAAACAATAATTTTTAAAGTTCCAGAGATTCTGCAAATAAACAAAAAACTTAAAAATATGATCCATTAATCACATGAGTAAACATACTGTTCATGAATATACCTGAAGGCAGGATTTCAAGGTGGTATTTACATACTCATGTTCACAGTAGTCAGAAGGTGAAGGTAACTCAAGTGCTTCTCCATGGATAAAGAAGACATGCTACTTACATACAGTGGAATATCACTCAGCTTTAAAATCAAAAGAAATCCTGTTAGTCTTTAGGTCACGTGAAAAAAAGCCAGTCACAAAACAGAAAAACTGCATGAGCTCACCTATATGGAACACCTAAACAGTCAAATTCAGAGAAACTAAACGGTGATTTCATGAACTTGGAAGAAGGGAAGTAGGAATGTATTGTTTAGTAAGCTTGGAATTTTTAGTTTTGCAACATAAGTAATTGCTGGAGATCTGCTATAGAAAAACACGGCTATATGTACCACTTGAATTATTTCCTTATAAATGGTAAAAAACAATACAATTTTAAGTTATTTGTCCTTTACCACAACTCAGAGTTCCTAGACCTGATAGCTCTTCCTATTTGCAGTTTTTCAGAACTTTCTATTGGTACTGTTGTCTCTGTCTCTCCTGCCCACTTTAGCCCGCTCCTATCTGATTTCAATTACCTCCCCACAGTTCTAGTCTCAGTATACTCAGGGTATTGGCCTTTGTTCACCACTTATTTCTGGAAGTTTTCTGATCCCTTGACTTCTGTGAGACTCTGCCTTATACTTTGCTCATGTCTCAGTGACAAGTCTTCTTCTGTTTAGTCTTTGTTTTCCTACTTATGTCCTTGTCCTGTCTCTATTTTGTGCCTTTTACAATCTTAACATTTTCCTTGTGAAAGCACAATTAAACAATGCCTGCTAGCTATCAGATTTTTATCTCTGCTCAGGACTCTCTCTGCCTTGTGGACTCTATATGAGTCCAATAAGCTATTTCAATTCAGTTCATCAAATGACACTCATCCTTCCTCCTGTGTCTTCCATAAGTAATATACCCCTCCACATTTTGGTCTAAAGCCTGGGGTTCATACAAGAATCCTGATTCTCTTTTATTCTCCATATCAAATTGGTACAGAAGGTGTTATTCATTCACAAACTTTATCTCAACTGCCAGTGCTTTCTTTCCATCACTGACCACTTTCAAGCTGGTCTGCTTTTAATTTTGTCTTTAAGTTAACTTTCCACATCATTTTATTGTTTTGGGAGTCTCTTGAACTCCCCCAATCAACAACTTGAAGGAAGACCTGACACTGGAGTTTTTGTTAGGTAGTCTATAGCTTTGGGGGAGCATTATTGCCATACATGATGTAACTTCATTTACATTTTCATTTAAATTACATCTACACACATACACTTGATGTTTATGTATGGCTTTTTTTTTTTCATCTGTAATGTCCTTTATCCCTCTTTCCTCCCTCTCCTTCTGGACTGCCCTCCTTCCCGCCAGATAAAGTACCCTTATTTTTCCAATTTTCCAATTCATCCTACTCTCCTGCTTTCTATAGCTCCTTCTACCCCTGGTTTCTGTGGGAACTTCAAGTTATACACTCACATCTTAAGATGCAGAAGTAGCACCCACGAATCAGAGACTATGCAGCATTTGTCTTTCTGGGTCTGGATTACTCCCACTCCGTATAATATTTTCTAGTTTTCATTCATTTACTTGCAAATTGATTTCATTTTTTCTTTACAGCTGACATAGAATTCCATTGTGTATATGTACCACATTTTCATTATCTTTCATCAGTTGAAGGACATTTAGGTTGTCTCTATTTCTTAGTTATTATGATGAAGCTGAGCAAATAACTGTAAAACAGGCCATTGAGTCCTTTAGACATATACCAGGGAGTGAATATAATGTGTTAAGATTTCAGTACTACAGTAATAATAATAAAAACAGCACAGTAATGGCAATAATAATAGTAGCATAGGAATGGAACAAAAGCAGATTAGTAAATCAGTAGAAGAAAACAGAAGTCCCAAACATGAGTGCATGTAATTTTACAGCCATCTGACATTTGACAGAGACGCCAAAAATACACACTGGAGAAGAAACAGCTTCTTCAACAAGTGGTGGTTTGAGAACTGGATGTCTACGTGTAGAAGATGGAAGTTAGACCCACATGCATTATCCTGAACTCAAATCAACATGAAATGGATCAAAGAACTCAATGTGAAATATTAAGTGCTGTAACGGCTAGAAGAAAACATAGGTGGTACCCTACAAGATAAAGGTGTAGGAAGAGACATTCTGACCAGGTCTTCATGCAGTTAGGAATTAAGACAATTAACAAATAAGACCTCATAAAGCTAAAATACTTCTTAAAGTATATATATATATATATATATATATATATATATATATATGTCAAAGAACAATAAACTAGTGAATAGGATAGGAAACCCACAAAGTGGGAGGAATCTTTGGCAGTTAGTCATTTGATAGAGTATACAGAATATATGAAGGAGAAAAAAAGAATCAAGAAATCCAATGACCCGGTTAAAAAAAAAGCGCTGGTCGGGGGCAGCTGTAGCTCTCAATTGAGAAGTCTCAAAAGAAGAGATGAAAAATGGCTAAGAATTATCTTTAAACATGTTCATCATCTTTAGCAATTACAGAAATGCCAATTAAAACAACTTTGAGATTCCATATTACTACAATTAGAATAGCTAAGATCAAGAAAACAACTGATAATAAATGCTGGTGAGGATGTGGGAATGGGAACTCTTTGTTCACTGTTGATAGGACTGGTTCAGCCACTATGGAAGTGAGAGAGGCAAAGTCTCAAAAACAAGCAAAACCGAAGACAAAAACCAACAATCAAAAACCCGATTTAAAAAAAAATCTCATCTCTTTAAAATTCGCCACACAAAGATCCGGTCTGCACTCTTCTCCAGCTAGATTCTTTGCAAGACCTTATGCTTTTTCAGTAATACCTTTGCCCATGCCATTCCCTCTGCTTCAAGTCTTTCCGACCTGCTTGGCTAAGCGCCAATCATTACTCAGCTCAGGTACGCTCCTGCAGTATAGGATAATGCTTACCTCGTGGTTACCTCGCTCTAGTTCGTTCTTCCAAAGTAGGTAACAAAGTCTTTTCCTTCATCCCAAATTCCACAGTCCAGCCTCTAATACCATATCGGGTTTGTAAGTGGCTTACTGTCCCCCGACTTGCGTGCGCGCTTGCGCGTGCGCGCACGCTGGAATGCGGTATGAATTGGACTTTCTGCTGAGAACATAGCACACACAAGACTTAAAAACAGCATCACAATTTATTTAACTAATGTCTTTCATACAACATATATTCCCCCCATTGACTTATCGAATTCCTCTATCACCTCGGATAGCGGAATAGCGTTGCTAAGCAACAACACGCCACTTTGGCGCCTACGTGGCCCGGATGAAGTTTCCTTTGGTAACGGAGGACGCACGCAGACGCAGACGGAAAAACTGTCTCCGTTTCCGCCCTACTATTCTCAATCAACTGTTAAAGCAGCGCGCATAGGAAACCACTTCCGGAAAGGTGAAGCTGCGGTTACCCGGCTGTAACATGGATGCTGCAAGCGAAAGCGAAGAGCCGGTAAGATGCTGTTCTCGGGCTCGGTAAATAATACCCAAGTAGAGATTGAATGGTGAGCGACCTAGGGAGCCTGGGTTCGCTCACCTATTCCTGCTTTTTCTTTTCTTTCTTAGGTTTGTGGGGAAGTGGTGTCCGTGGCCCACGCTCTTTCCCTCCCAGCCGAGTCGTACGGCAATGACGTGAGTATGACTCACCCACTCTTCCCGCCCTCCCAGCTATCTTAGAATGTCTGAAAGCCGCCGCACTGAATTATAAGTCCCTTTCCTGATGTCTTCTTCAGATCTCCCCACGTCAACCCTAACTTTTCTCTGATTTAGAAACACCTAGGGGATGTCTAAACGCCCCACATGTCTAGATTATAATAACCCACACCAGGTCCTATCAGAATGTCTGGGGGAAAAGGAGTAAATACTTGGTAGGTTTTTTGTGGGTTTTTTAATTTTTTTAAATTTTTATTTTATTTTATTTACATTATTATTATTATTATTATTTGGTTTTTCGAGACAGGGTTTTGCTGTAGTTTTAGAGCCTGTCCTGGAACTAGCTCTTGTAGACCAGGCTGGCCTCGAACTCACAACTTGGTAGTTTTTAAAGGGCCTTAAATGATCCCATTGTGTAGCAAAATTGCACTGACTTGTGGTGTGCTTCCTTTGGACCCTTATACATGCTGTGTGTTGAGAGACAAGAAGAAAACAACGGCCGGAATAGTAATACCACCCAAATCAGAATGTAATATGTACTAGATGGGTGGCTCAGGCAAGGGTGGAGGCAGGAGATTTCATCAGGGAAATGTAACTTGAACTGGACCTGGACCCTCAAGCGTAAGTGGACAAAAGATACGGATTTGGAAGTGGGAAAATTGTTTTGCCCAAGTTAGAGAGGTGCGTATGCAGATGGATTTTCCTGACCTCATGAAGGAGACAACAGGTGGGTTGGAGAAGGAGAGTCCAATGCAACAGCTAGTGGGTACTTGGTCGGACTTATTTATAATCTGGCTGCATCATTTGTTCTGGGGTTTTACAGAGTGGAAAATGGCTACCTGATAAACACAAATGATGAGTAAAACATGCTGCAGTCATTAAAGTGAAACATAGTTTCATGTGTATTTTTGTCCTCTAAACAACTCTGAGACACATAGGTGGGTATATTAATGTAACTTTAAGAATTATTTAAGTCAGTCCTGATTTTCCACACTTTCTCTGGCTGCTGGGAAAAAAATGTCCAGTAGTCATTGCTTTTGTTATTCTGTATTGGTCATCCTAAGAGCAAAAGGTTTATATTGCCAAATCTTTTAGTTCAGCTTCTATCCCTTGACAGCAACATCATTTTCTGTAGACCTCTTGAGATTTAGCAAAGCGTCTTTAACTTATTATCCTTTATAGAACTGAGAGAGTTTTTGGTTTTGGTTTTGGTTTTGGTTTTGGTTTTTAGTTTTTTCGAGACAGGGTTTCTCTGTGGCTTTGGAGCCTGTCCTGGAACTAGCTCTTGTAGACCAGGCTAGCCTCATACTCACAGAGATCCGCCTCTGCCTCCCGAGTGCTGGGATTAAAGGCATGCACTGAACTGCCCAGCTAGAACTGAGAGATTTCTGAGCTGATGTTCTCCCTCTTTTGCAGCCTGATATTGAGATGGCGTGGGCCATTCGAGCAATGCAGCATGCCGAAGTCTATTACAAAGTGAGTCGTCTTCATCATTAAGCAGAAGTCAGCGTGTAATTTTACTGTATGATGGATGCTATGCTAATCATAGTTCTCAGCAAGTTATGCTGTTAAGTTTTGAAGATTGTTTTAACTGACAAAGAAATCTTACCTCCGGGGAATAAGAGTAGAAGTGAATTTGATAATGAAAAGTTATGTTTGTCTACCCCTGTTGTTTGCTACCTGGAGGAAAGATGACTGGACCATACATAGCAAGCACTTAAATGTTTGTTGAATGAATGAACAATCCACAGAACGAGGGCCAGGCAATACTAGGACTAAAGGGTTCATTCAGTTGCCAAGTTGGTAAAAGGAAGAGAAAGAGGAGAGAGATTGTTATTATGGCTCTTAAAACCATTTTAATGACTTCATGCAAGACCTGGGCTGTTAATATTGCCTAAGGTAATCTTCTGTCCTGAGAAACATACGGTTTGCTGATGGTGTGGCACTGGAGGGCTTGAAGTGTAATTAGTGACTAGCATCTTTGTGTTTGTTTTACTGTCTGGCAGCTGATTTCATCAGTTGACCCACAGTTCCTGAAACTCACCAAAGTAGATGACCAAATCTACTCTGAGTTCCGTGAAAATTTTGAGAAGCTCAGAGTAGATGTATTGGACCCAGAAGAACTCAAATCAGAATCAGCTAAAGAGGCAAGTATCTTCTTAAGTGTTATCTAACATCTGGCCGGTGATATTGATTGTATGTTTTTATGTAAGTGCAAAATTTGTTCAAGGGACTTAAAATAAGGAGCCTGAATTTTATAATAATGAAGTCAATTATGGAATGAATTATTTTCTGTCTTATGCACTTTTTGTGTTTATGGGAACTATTTTTTTTCTTTCCTTGGGCACTTCAAATACCCCATTTACCTATTCCTTTCAGTGAGGAGGAAGGATGAGTTTATTTTAGCAGGACATTTAGCTGGCAAAATTATTAGATGATGGAATAGTTAATAGGGTACAGGGAAGATAGGGAGATATTGTGATTCTCTGGATTTCTGTTCCATTAATCTTAGGTCCTGGAAAGCATACAAGTTTTGTTTCTTGCTTATGTGATCATCTCTTACTGACACAGAATATGATATTATAATAGGAAAAGCATTTTCCTTAAAATGGGCTCTTGACTAATGAAGAATTTAAACTTAGCAGGCTGTCACTGATCTTTGAGAACTTGCCCCTAACTCAGTGGACATGTATAACCTAAAAGTATATCCCTGTCCTCTTTGTCTCATTGGTACTTTGGTGAGGATGAATAACCAGTTTGACTTGAGCTAGTTAATAAACAACTCAAAGCAAAACAGAGATCCATTTTAGAAATCACATTTTAATTTTGTAGTAAAAAGTTTGAGGTGGTTGGTTTTGTTGTTTGTTTTTCCTGATCAAAATGTTGTGTAGGGGGACGCCAGCCTGAAAATATAATGTTGCACCAAAATGTACAATTTCACCATAAAGCTGAAAGTCACCTCAGTACTAGTCTCTTTCTGCCGGGCTTTTATTCTCACTGGGGAATCAAACTTCTTTCCTGGCTTGAGTACATTAGACTCTTGTTTTCATCAGCTAAGGTGTCATTTTTTTTTTTTTTTTTTTTTTTTTTTGCCTTATAGAAATGGAGGCCATTCTGCTTAAAATTTGAAGGTATTGTGGAAGACTACAACTATGGTACTTTGTTGCGACTCGATTGTTCTCAGGGCTATACTGAAGAGAACACCATCTTTGGTGAGTTCCCCCTCCCCCAATTGTTTCACTTATATATTTGAATGGCTTTCATGTGAGTTAATATTTGTCTGTGGGTTTCTAGCCAGTATACATAATTACCTAAGACCAGGACAATTAATTCTATTTACCTTTCAGCACCCAGGATTCAATTTTTTGCAATTGAAATTGCTCGGAACCGGGAAGGCTATAACAAAGCAGTTTCCGGCAGTGTTCAGGACAAAGAAGGAGAGAAAGGAACTAACAATGAAGAAGAGGAAGATGAGAAAGGAGCTGATAGTGGAGGAGAAAAAGAGGAAGGAGTCAACACAGAAAATTAAAACAAAACAAAACAAAAAACTAACCAGGGAGGAGGAAAAGAAAGCCAAGAAACATGTGACTCAGCTGAACCCACAAGTATCAGGTGCTCCTTGCACAGACCCCTTGTGCACATGGGAGGACTCAGAAGGACATTTTTCTAGCAAATAAGAGAAACTGCTCTGGGCATAATAGCCTAAACACAATTAGCAGAGTCTCTTAGTTAATTGTTGATTCATACCCTATTTCTTGACTGTAACTTGTTGAAGTAAGACATTTTGTAAATATATTCCTTTTGGTTTGTATTATTTATGACTGATTTTGGAAAATATTTACATTTCTTTGCTACTTCAAAAAATCAGTTGTATAATCTCATCACCATATCTCATATAAAACTGTCTATTTTTTAAGTTTTCTCACTGTTCTCAGTAATGGAATTCGCTTAATGTGTTAGCTCCTACTTGGAATCGGTATTAGAAGTTCATATGTAAAAATTGACTCTTAGCCAGGCCTAGTGGCTCATACCTGTAATTCCAACACTTGGGAAACCAAGGAAAGAGAATTGCATGATTTTTAAGCCAGCCTAAGTCATAGAGTGAGACTCTGTCTCAAAAAATAAATTGTTTAAAAAAGAATTGGTGTTTGTCTTTGTGGTGTCTGTAGCTCTCTGATTTCCTTTGCCGCAACTGTCAGGTTAGAGAGTGCAGCCCAGTTTGTTAGAGAAGAGCAAGAGCCTTCACCTCCTTTTAGATTTTTTTCTGTCAGTCTTTTTGTTTGTTTTTCTGAGACAGAGTTTTGCCTTATAGACCATTCTGGCCTAGTACTTCCTATGTAAGTCAAAGCTAGTTTCCTACTCAGAATCCTGCCTTGTTTATCCTCTGATAACTTAGTTGTTATCTGAAATTTAGCTAATAATAGTAAATGCTAGTATAGTATTTATAATCTAATGTAAGTCTGATGAAGTGGCTTCTAGTTTATAACTATGGGCAAGAACATGTATTTGTATTTGACTCATAACAAACATTTGTTGATTTGATTATGGGAGGGAGGTGTTTCCTTCTCAGATGAAGCTGTTTAGAGTGAAGGCTTCAGTTACCTGCACAAGTATATGAAGAAGGTTCCTGGTGCCCCCAGACAACCTGAGCTTGATTGCTGAAAATAAAAGGAAAACGGGATACTTGTGATACATACAGATGCTACTCTGTCAAGTCGAACCACAGCATTCTTGTATGAAGAAGGATTTATTGCCACACCTTTAATCCCAGCACTCAGGAGGCAAAGGTAGGTCCAAATTCGAGGTCAGCCTGGTCTACAGAGTAAGTTCCAGAACACCCAGGGCTACATGGTGAGACCCTGTCTTAAAAAAAAAAAAAAAGAAAGGAAAAAGAGAAAAGAAGGAAGGGTTTGTTGCGCTATAGAAAGGAAAAAAGACCTTTATCCCTTAATAAACACAAAAGAAAAGTAAAAGTTAAATCTAATTGATATATTGTGCTATACAAGGAAATGAAAAAATCATGTAGCTAGCAGTAACACTTGTATACAAAACAAACAGGTTTCTTTCTAAGTTCTCTTAAATTCTTAAGAATATTTTGAACATTTATTAAAATTTTCCTTTTATACAAATGTATAGTTTTTAAAGAATAGGAGAACTTTATGTATTTCTTACTAGCCGGACTACTAAGAAAAATCAATACTGTAAATTTTCTCTAGTTCTAGTTGGTTACAATTGTATGTTCATATATACTGTCTTAGAAGTTGAAGAAGGAAAATTACTGACCATATATAATTGCAGCTGTCACAAAGACTAAGGCAGCATACACAGGGCCTGCTTGAATCGTGTATATGTTATAGTTTCCAGATTCGTGTTTTTATGGGACTCCTGAGTGTGCAAATAAGTGCATCTCTGCTTGTGCCTTCTTTGGGGCTTTTTCCTTCTCTTTGTGTTGCCCAGTTCCAGTGTGTTAGCTTTTTGTTTTATCCTATTATATTTTATTTTTATTATTATCTCTTAGAAGCCTGTTTGTTTTCTAATGAGAGACAGAAAGGGTGTGGATCCACATGGGAGAGAACAGGAGGGGAAACCATAATCAGAATATATTATGAGAGGAAAAAAAACTATTTTCAATAAAACGAAAAAATGTCTCTTTCCAGGTTGTTTACTGGCAGAACAACTAGCTTAATGACTCTGTTCAATTTTTAGGGAATAAGAAACGTGAAAATCAGACTGCCTTGAAGCAAGAGGCCTCCCCTAAGGAACAGGTGATAAAAAATGGAAATTAAGAATTTTAGTGGCATTTCATTTGTTTTTTTTAATAAATAAAGCTTGCTGCCTGAAGATCAGAGAATAAAACAGCCCCACTGGTCAGTCTTACAGACCAGGCAGTGATAATACACACCTTTCATCCCAGTAGCCACACTAATTGCCATAGAAACCAGGCGGTGCATGATTTTAATGCCAGTGGTGCACACCTTTAGTCCCAGCCCTAGAGAGGATTATAAGATGGGTGGAGACAGCTCTCAGTCTTATTCTCATCCTGAGATTCCTGGAGGCAGGATCGCCATTATATAAAAGCCAGTGGCTGGTTGCTTTGCTTTTCTAACCTTCAGGTGGAACCCCAATTTCTGTCTCTGAGTTTTTATTAATCATGCTCTAATAAATATAGAGAAGGCCGATGGACTGTAAGAGTCCAGGAGATTAAAGCAGTCTCCCAGATTAGAGGGGAAAGAGTAGGCAAAATGGTCCTGATGCTTTCGATGAATCTTAAGATTTCAGTATTCTTCCCTTGTCATGAGTGTTCCTATGTAATTCCCTACTGTTTAGTATGGACAAAGCCTATGAAGATGAACAGATTTCATTCCTAAATTGTGGATGGTTTGAAGTTAATCAAAGGAATCTTGGGTAGGTCCTTCCTAATAGGCAAGTCCTTAAAAGAGACAAGCAAAACCAGAAGGTGTAAAAACCAACAGCCATGTTTGAGAGGTCATGGGAAAGCCTGAAGGTGATATTTTTCCCTGGGGATTCCAGTTAGTTCTAAGGAACTTTATTCTGCCTATTAGTAAGGTGGAAGAGAACTAAGATGCTCAGACGAGATTGGCAGTATGATTTGGGCCCCAGAGCAGATGATCTAGTTAAGCTGTTCTTGGACTCCTAGACAATAAATGGATGTTGTCTCATGACCAAAAAAATATGGTAATTGCTTACATAATATTGGAAAACCGTAGGCGTTGATACTAAAAGGGGGGTGCTATACTTCACCAATATCTAAAAGTTGGAAGTTGTGTTTGAAATCAGACAGTGGTAAAAGCTGAAGAATTTTGAAGGACATAATAGAGAAAAATCCTATACTGTCAATGGGAATATGGACTTTTTAGTGGTTTGGGCTTTTTTTTAATTTTTTATATGTATATGTGGTTTTTGTTTGTTTGCTTGTTTTTTTCTTTGAGACGTGATTTTTCTATATCGTCCTGGAACTTTGTAGAACAGGCTGGCCTCAAACTCAAAAGGATTCTCTTGCCTCTGCCTCCTGAGTGCTGGGATTAAAGGTGTGCGCCACCAGACCCAGGCCAGGTGTATGGACTTTAAGGGTGCTGCTAGAAAGAGCTCAGAAGGAAATGGGGGAGGTGTTATTGAAAACTGGAGGTAAAGGGTTTCTTTCCTTTTTTTTTTTCACTTTTTAAATAGTTGCTTATTTATTTATTTATTTTTATTTTTTCCATTTATTTATTTATTAAAGATTTCTGTCTCTTCCCTGCCACTGCCTCCCATTTCCCTCCCCCTCCCCCAATCAAGTTCCCCTCCCTTGTTACTTTTTTTTTTTAAGATTTGTTTATTTATTATGTGTACAGTATTCTGCCTGCACATCAGAAGAGGGCACCATATCTCATTATAGGTGGTTGTGATCAACCGTGTAGTTGCTGGTTGAACTCAGGACCTCTGGAACAGCAGTCATTGCTCCTAAGCTCTGAGCCATCTCTCCAGCCCCAGAGATTCTTAAAAGGTGGTAGCACTGAAATAAGATCCTAGGAAGTTTGAGATTTGAACTATGACTTTGAGCCAGGCTGAACATAGAAATCTATGACTTATTCAAAATAAGGCAATATTCTAGTTATCTCAGTATCTTTTTGAGCTAGAAAAAAGTAACTATTTGTACTTGCAAGAGGACATATGGTAGATTTAAGTCAATGATTGTGTGATACTTTGTCATAGGAAGTACAAAATGACTAAAGGAAACATACTGAACCTACCCTCAAAGTAGAGGCTTTCACTGTACTGGCATTGCTTATTTTGAAACTATAGCTTAAGCATGGGGATGTCGTTTACCAGAGGATTAGAACTCTAAACTTCATTCAAAATGACCTAGAATCATTTAGAACGTACAGGAAGTCCTGTGGTCACTATGGGAAATATGCTAATGGGGTTTGAAATTAGCATGTTTTCATATATGTCACTTAACAGTAACAGCTTTTTTGTTTGTTTATTTTTCAAGACAGGGTTTCTCTATATAATAATCCTGACTGTCCTGGAACTCATTTTGTAGACCAGGCTGGCCTGGAACTCACAGACAGCCGCCTGCCTCTGCCTCCTAAGTGCTGGAATTAAAGGTGTGTCCCGCACCTCCTGCAACATTGGCGGCTTTGTTTGTGTATGTGTATGTGTGTTTGTGCACATTCACATGCATGCTTATGTGTGGAGATCAGAGGTCCATGTCGGGCATCTTCTTCAATTGCTCTTCATCTTATTTTTTAATAGTCCTCAGTGAACCTGGAGCTTGCTGGCTTTGCTAGATTGGCTAGTCAGCATGCACTGAAGATTTTCCTGCCTCTGCCTTTTCTATTTGCCTGGACTCTGGGGATTGAACTCAGGTCTTCATGTTTATGTGGCAAACACTTGACCAATTGAACCATCTCCCCAACACTTACTCGATAACTTACAATAACTTCAAGTGTGAAGAGGTTTCTTTGGCACAATGTTTTATGATGAATATAGTTTACAGTTTCTAGAGCATGGTGGTCATTTTAGCAGACCAGTGGTTTATGACCCTGGCACTTGGCTTCACAGGAACAAGTCCAGAGCCTGAGTTGTCTGCGGTTGGACAGGCCTGGAACTTGAGTTTATGGTGGCGAGTTTGAAGCATTCCTGGCTGGAGCCTGGGCCTGTGGAGGCCAGAGTCTACTGGAGTAGCCTTGACATTAGATATATTGGAGTTTGGGGCCAGCCTAGCCAGTGTAGGGTCTAAAGTGTAGGTCCTTAAGAGACAGTTTGGAGTCTAGTCTGAACGGCAGCCTGACACGTCAGCTATAGAAGGTAACTCTGAGTGCTGGCCTGAGGCTAGGTCCATAGGACTAGCCTGAGCCTATACCTATAGGTAATAGCGTGGGTTTTTTTGTTTTTTTGTTTTTTGTTTTTTTTTGGTCACTGCACTTAGCCTGTGTTTGATATGGAAATAGAGGCTTTGTTCTCAAGACAGACTTAGAACCTGAGTTCATGGTGATAAACTGAACACTAAGGACAATTGGGGCTGGCCTCATCACTGGGTTTGCTGAAATGAACCTGGTCCCTGAGCCCTCGAGGATGGAGCTGTGGGGACTAGTGTGGATCCCGCTATGTGTGCCAACCAGCCTAGAATCTGGGTCT